CACAACCATCTGTAATGAGGTCTGGTGCCCTCTTCTGGCCTTCAGAAAGAATATTGTATACATAATAAATCAATATTAAAAAAAAGAAACACATATGAACAGTATAACAAAATTGACCTTAAATTTGTATTAATAAACCAAGATCCATACCAGTGGAAATCTCTATAGCATATTCCCCTTTAAATGTAAACAAATATTTATAAACAATATTTAGGAATTTGGGCATAGTACTCTCCAAACTGCTTCTAGCTTTTTGTTGGGCAAAGTATTTTTGGGGTGTTCATGGTGACCTTTCAGGGGTTCTTGGCCCATCAAACCACAGCAGTCTGAAAGGAATCCATAGGTTCTCATCTTCTGTGGAAACAAAAGAAGAACATCTTTTCCAAAGCAACGTATCCTTAGACCCAAATTCTGAAATTAAGATACCTTTAAAATATATAGTTGCTTTAGCTTAGCAGCCCATACAATGAAATGTCTCTCTGTACTTAGCTCTTTCACAGTCAAAAAATTCAAAGAGAGCACACATAATCCAAACTGTATTTTCCATCTTTATGTGGCTTATTTTTATTTTTAATCTATAACTGTACTCTATCTCTTTAAAGACTTTGTTTTATTTTTTAAAAACAATTTTAAAAGCCACACATACAGAAGGACTTCCCACACCTTGTTCCTCTGGTTTTGTTTTTAACTGTTAACAAATAAAAATAATTCTGAGGGCTAGAGTTCAGTTCATGGATAAGAGCATTTGTTGCCTTTCCAGAGGACCCAGGTTTGGTTCCATGGGGTTCACAATGACCCAGTCTCCAGTCCTAGGAGATCTGACACCTCTTATGCGTTCCATAGGCACAGATATGCATACAGGAAAAACACCCATACACATAAAATAAAAATAAATAAATTTAAAGAACTAAAAATTCTTTTTTAATATTCATTTATTTATTATGTATACAATATTCTGTCTGTGTGTATGCCTGCAGGCCAGAAGAGGGTACCAGACCCCATTACAGATGGTTGTGAGCCACCATGTGGTTGCTGGGAATTGAACTCAGGACCTTTGGAAGCATTATTAAATGCTCTTAACCTCTAAGCCATCTCTCCAGCCCCCAGAACTAAAAATTCTTAAGCCATGCAAGTGATTAAGCATTTAGACCTTGTGGATTGTTTATGTGTTTGGGAACTCAGATGAACTGAGGAGCACAGAGCAGTAGCCAGGAGAACAAGTAGGTCTTAGAAGTGACTGGCAGGATTCCTGAAGATGGCCAAGGAGACTACCCTAACTAGGAGCATGGCACATGAAAGCTGCAAAGAGAGGCCCTGTCAGCTGAGGTTTGGCGTGGTGTGGAGAATAACTGAAGGTAGAGAACACGGGGCCTGAACCCCTGCATCCCTTCCTAGTTACCGCATCAGAGATGAAATGGGATAATGGGCGTCAAGTTCCTGGTGTGGGCCTGGTCTGTAGTAACTGTTGCTTTGTGAGACCAGGGGGGAATGTTGCAGCAGGGGAGATCTTCACGCTTTGATAGATGGAAATGGAGGTAGCAAAGCTTTGGACCTCAAGTACGGACAAGATGGTTGTGGTTACTATCTGAGAGCCTCTGCCTGTGGGGAGGCAGGGCTTGTTCTCTGAGGCTACATGACAGATAAAATGACAGATAAAAGCTACCTGTCAATAGGGAAGGCAGCTTTAAGTCTAAGCTTGCCAAGTTATAAGGTCTAGACTTTCTCCATCCTGCCAGATGGCCTCAAGCTCAGAAGCCATCTGCCAGGGAGTCATGACCCCTTGACGAGAGACAGAGGCTGGCTCAGGTAGTGACTGCTGCTGTTAAAAGGAGTGTGAGCTCCAAGTAGTACCACACACAAAGTAGGGAGTAAACAGGACAGAAATATATCGAGCTAGGCAGTTGGTTGTTGAGAGAAGACGGGGAGACAGCTGTGCTGTGTGAACTGACAGACTGTGTGGTGGGCTTCTCTTTTGCCAGGGCTAGACTTCAGAGACCTCAAGTACCAAGAGTAGAATCCAGGAATACTTTCAGAGAAGTAATTTTTGTGTGTGTGATGGGTGCCTAAGGAGTAGGGAGCAAGTCCTTTGGGTCTCTTCAGGCTTCACAGTAGTTAGTTCTGTTTGGTGTAGGCAACATGTTGTCTGATGTGCCATTAGGGAGCAAGGGGCTTGGACAGAATAGCCTGAGATATAGAGGAAGTGTCCTAGGGTACAGTTGTGCGTTTGTGTGTCCCAAGTGGTGGAGGACCAGCTTCAAAACACAACCACTGTAACTCCAGGTCCAGGGCATCTAATACCCTCTTCTGTGCTCCTCAGACATGCCTGCGGTACACTGACACACATGAGGCAAACACACACTTGAAATTTTCCTTCCTTCCTTCCTTCCTTCCTTTCGTTTTTCGAGACAGGGTTTCTCTGTGACTTTGGAGCCTGTTCTGGAACTAGCTCTTGTAGACCAGGCTGGCCTTGAACTCACAGAGATCCGCCTGCTTCTGCCTCCCAAGTGCTGGGACTAAAGGTGTGCGCCACCACCACCCGGCTATGAAATATTTTTTAAAGTAATAATTTAGTGATTTGCACTTCTAAATGGAGTTTTATTCTTCAGCTGCCAGTTGTATCTTATTTTGGCCACTTTTCCTTCTGGTAACTTCATTGTTCTGGAATGGTTACTCTCGTTTCCACAGCCTGGGGTCTTCTTGCCCAGCCTTTAGGGCCCAGCAGGAGCCTTCTGTCGAGTCTGTCTTGGGTCCCTTTAGGTGCTTTCTGGTTCTGATCTCGACTCTACCCAGCTGTTGTGAGCCCATCTCTTCTCACAGCAGGTGCCTCCTCATCCATTCTCCCTGCAGCAAGGCCAACACCCTTTGTTTTGAATTAGTGTCCCCTCCATTGACTTCAGTGCTGTTTCATGGGCGCACTCCCTGCTTCACCCTCCAGACAGTCCCACAGCAGGTGGAACAGGAAGTCTCATCTGTAGTTTTGGTTTGTTTGTTTGTTAATCTCATTGTGTAGCCCGGACTGGCATGGAGCTTTCTTTAGACCAGGCTGGCCCTGAACTCAGAGGTCTTGCTTTCCTTTGCCTCTCAAGGCAAGCCTCTCTTCTTATTAAAGGCAAGCCCCTCTTCTGAGGCAAAGCTGGAAGGGTAGTCTGCCTCCTTTGTGCTGGGCTCCCAAGACCGCATGGCCCTCCCGGGTACTGTGAAATCCTCTGTTTCGAGCTTGCTCAAAGTCACTCACAATTTTGAAGTCCTCCTTTCTAGTCAGTATTTGTTCTTTGGGAATGAAACAGAATAATAAGTCATATCGTGTCACAGGTCCCTTTGGAAGAAGGGAGGGAACTGCGGCCTGTGGGTTTTCGATGGTACCTGAGGTGAAGAGAAGGATGTTATAAAGAATAGACAGAACGCCATGCATAGGAATGGTACTGTCTCCACCTGTGGTTTTACCTTTTCCTTTTTATCTTACTGTAAATTGTCTGTGTCTGTGGAAGAGCGTGTATATGCAGTCCTTGGGCTTGACAATAAGCGCCTGCACCACTGAGCCATGTTACTGGCCCTTCACCTGTGATTGTCAAACATATGAGGGGGTATGGCTGCCTTTGTTCAACAGAAACAATTTAGCATATTGCACTTAATGTGGGACATTTCTTCAAGAAAATAAGCATCTTGGGAAAAAGGGAAACACATGGATCAGAGTTCAGTCACCCGGCGACCTGCATGGTGGAAGTAGAACCCTGACTTCTACAACTTGTTCCTTGGCCTCCACACACTCCACATGGCACCCGTGTGTACATACACTTGATGAATGTTAAAAACATTTTTTTTTTTTTTTTTTTTAGCCAGGTGGTGATGACATACACCTTTAATCCCAGCACTGGGGAGGCAGAGGCAGGCGGATTTCAGTGAGTTCAAGGTTAGCCTGGTCTACAGAGTGAGTTTCAGGGCAGCCAGGGCTACACAGAGAAACCCTGTCTTGGAAAAAACAAAAAGCAAAACAACAACAAAAAAACTAAAACAATCTGAGCAGTGGTAGCGCACGCCTTTAATCAAGAGGCAGAGAGGCAGGTGGATCCCTGTGAGTTCGAGGCCAGCCTAGTCTACATAGTTACAGGACTAGCTCCATAGCTACTGAAAAACTCTGTCTCGAAAAACCAAAACCAAACCAAACCAAAACAAAACAAACATTTTTTAATGGCACAGAGTGGGGATGGGGGAGGGGGAGTTGGACACATTGAAAAGTCACTATTTGCTTTTTTCCTTAGAATGTTGAATGTATATTCTCCCCCATCTGCTGATGGTCAACAGAGCTAGGTTCCAAGTCCAGCTCTGCCATTAACCAAGCAGGGCGGTGACTGCTCTCGATGTTGGGTGTTGCAGGGCTGCTATAAGCAGTAGAGGTGATGGCAGCAGCAGAAGCCGCCCCTGGTGGTGGTTCTCAGATCATGGACATCTGATCACCTGGGAGGCTTATAAAGCTACAGCTTCTAGGCTACTCCCATCATTTCTAATGCACAGAGAATTTGCATTCTGAGTTTCCAGTTAATGCTGCTGCCTGCCAGTCTGTAGTCCACACTTTGAGTACCATTAACTCTAGATAACTGAACAGTGGACTTTCAGATACTCTAGACACACCTGAACTGTATGTGCATAGACTTACTCTGTTAGACTTCTTGGAATGCATTTGGAAATATGGAATTTAGGATCAAAGGGGTTTTACTTTTGAAGTTCGGAAGTCCTTGTTACACACATTTGAAGGAGGAAAAATTGTGGAAGCAACAGTTCCAAATGAATATTTTATAGATAATCTAACATATCTAGTTGGCTACATATGTGAAATTGCTTTTATAAAACATGAGGTGAATTTAAGTCACAATTGAAGCAGTATTTTAAATAACTTTGCTTTTAAAATTGAAGTTTATAATGGAGTAGCGTATGAAATAGTTTAACTTAGCTTTCTCACCTCAATATGCTGTTTACTGTATGTATTTTTCTCTTTCCTCCAGGCTGCTGACTTGAGTAAACCAATAGATAAAAGGATATACAAAGGAACACAGCCTACCTGTCATGACTTCAACCACCTAACAGCCACAGCAGAAAGTGTCTCTCTCCTAGTGGGCTTTTCCGCAGGCCAAGTCCAGCTCATAGACCCCATCAAAAAAGAAACTAGCAAGCTGTTTAATGAGGAAGTAAGTAGCACCCCGCCTGAGCTGTTGAACCCCTGTAAGAGCTCTGTTCTTACTCAAGGGTAGTGGGCCTTATTTTACATGTTGAGCCAAGCCATTTTTCATCTGCTCTGCTGTCTTTACCTCGTATTACACCAGTTTAAATGTTGTGGATTAATGTTCTGAACTTGTTTTTCCTCGAGGTAATTGTTTGTGCATTTGTGCAGAGAATGATCAGCTACTACAGATACCTTAAACCCTTCTGCATGGGGGTGGGGAGATGCCTCAGTGGGTAAAGTGTGACTTGGGATTTCCAGCACCCACATAAAAAGCCAGACATGGCCAATGTGTCTTTAATCCTAGTCTTGGGAAGAGGAGACCGAAGGATCCCAGGGATTCACCAGTCAGTTAGTCTAGATGACAGTCAGTGAGCTCCAAGAGACCCTGTTTGAAGAAAAAGATACAGAACAGTAGAGAAAGCTTCAGGGTGTTGACCTCTAATCTTCACAGATGTGTGCCTCATGTGCATACATATGCATAAGCACACAGTGCTTCAATAATAGAGGCAAGCATATTGATAACTTGAGGTGCGATTTTTGTTTTGTTTTGTTTTGTTTTGTTTTGTTTTGTTTTGTTTTGTTTTGTTTTGAGGCAGGGGTCTTATTGTGTAGTCCTGACTGTCCTGGAACTCACTCTGTAGACCAGGCTGACCTGGAACTCACAGAGATCCCTCTGCTTCTACAGAACTGCAGGGATTAAAGGTGTGTACTTTGTATCCAGTTATACACACACACACACACACACACACACACACACACCAGACACACACCAGACAGAAGTTGTCAAATAGATTGTACTTATTCAAGTCATTATAGTAGATTTTCAGCTCCAAGTATTACCACATATTTGATAGTCTTTCTCTCCTGTTTGAGTGTGACTTTCCTAGAACATGGCGGAGGTGAAGTACACTTGATGAGGTAGACACTCTGGATTCTAATCTCCACCTTGTTACTCAGCCTTTTATGAATTGTTATGTGAAGGTGGCTTCATGTCAGAAGGATGAGTGGTTTGTCCTGCTGCTTGGTTTTAGTATCATGTGCATGGAGCAGCATGCTCTCATGTCTACTGTAGGAAGTGGTTTTGGGAAGGGAGAAGAATAGCCCCAAACTCACACAAAACAGCCACAGTTCTGATTCTTTGTAGTCCTTATGGCATTTGCTGTCTGTGTGTTCAGTACCATCCTGGGTCCTTTGAGTTTACTAGGAATAAACTTGTCCTCTACATTGACAGCTGAAGAGAAAAGCTATTTGACTCTATTTCCTTTAAAAATCTGAATCAGGAAAGTATCTATTTACCCAGATGTTTTAGTAATGCCATCAGAAGAAGTGATTTGTAAGTAATTGATTTTATCTGTCTGTCTGTCTGTCTGTCTATATTGATGAGGACTGGGAAAGATGACCCAAAGTTACTCTTCTGCATTGTTAACAGAAACTGCAGTTGGAATCATTTGGGGGTTTTGCTTGTGTTTGGGTAGAAGAGCGTGTGATGGACTGGGAATGGATTGAACCCCGTGCCAAGCTGTTGGTAAACAAGACCCAAAGGCAGTTCTGACAGAGGATGGCACAGAATGCCACTTAGAGAACAAGAAAGGTTTGTGTGTTGTGTTGGGGGAGGGTGGGGGAGTTAGAGTCCACATGACTCTGATGACCAGACCCCTTCTGTCCTGGTGATGGAGCTACAGGATAGAAAGCAGATCCTCCCTCTTCATGATGTAAGCACAAGTTCTTGCCTACTCTCTGATTGCAGCTGAAGTGGCTGTTCGGAATGTGAGTACTGTGCAAGCTTTAATGCCAGGTTGGCATTTGGAGCTCGAGATTGAAACCAAATGCCCTTCACAAGTCTTTGGTGGTGTGAATCCATTTCTCCCAAGCACAAAGGCTGCACTTCTCAGAGTGCCAGAGATGTTGTAAAAAGATGTCCTTGTGCTATACTCAGCATTGGTGTGAGATTTAGAGTTTCCTGTTACTTGTGCATAGGAGGGTGAAGAAATCTGCAAAGAAATGTTAAGTCCATATCAGCAAGTTCATAGAGTTATCGTGATATTGCTGGAACCAGAAATTAATTCCAGAACCTTCCTGGTTGTAGGCTTGTAAGCCCCACCGGGTGTGGTTGCCAGTTTGACCTTGCCTTCTTAGCAACTCAGAAGGATTGACAGGTAGAGTCCAGGAATGGACTCATCAATGAAGTACTGATGGGATACATGTTTCTTGTGTTTTTGGTTGTTTTGAGACAGAATCTCATGTAAATCAAACTGGCCTAGAGCTTGCTATATAGACCAGGCTAATGAACTCATAAAGATCCATCTGTCCTCCTTTCCAAGTGCTGGGATCAAGGGTGTGTACCAGTATACCCAACATGTGTATTCTTTAATATGTCAAATAAAAAAGTTTATAGATTCATTTATTTATGTATTTATTTATTTTATATATATTGGTGTTTTGATTACATACATGTCTGCATACCACATTCATAGTACCAAGGAGGCTAGAAGAGGGTATCAGACCCCTGGAACTGAAGTTACAAACCATTATTAGCCAGCACGTAGTTGCTGGGAGTTGAACTGATCCTTTGCAGGCTCTTAGCCACATAGGCATATATCTGACTCCCTTCCACCCACCACTGGTATTTTAAATTTTTCTTAAAAGTCAGATTTATCTGGAAACGGGGTGGCTCACTGAGAGGCTGAGGTCGGATCACTAATTTAAAGCCAGTCTGGACTTCACAGAGATCCTGTATCAATAGAAAAAGATTTGGAGAAACTTAGTGAAAGGGTCTGAGAAGTACCTGCAGAGCACAGCACTGGTCTGGAGCTTGAGGGCACTTGTAAGGGTAGGATGAAGACAAGGATGCTCTTCAGAAGAAAAGGAATTAGGCATGGTGTTGCATGCCAGGAATCCCAGCACGGGGGAAGCCAGCCTGGGCTGCAGAACAAGACCCTGTTTAAAAACAAACAGACAAACAAACCAGAACAAAAACGTTGGAAAGAAAACATTTTGGCATTTTCTGGAACATCAAGTGACAACCTAATCAAGTCACTGGGTGGAGTTGGTGGTAGTAGCAGAAGTCATTACCAGAAAGAGGAGTTAAAATCAAATTATTCCTGTCATGTGAAAAAACTTGGACTTAACATGGAGACTGTAGGGGAACTTTAGGCTTTTAGTCAGGGATCAAATATGTTTTTTAGAACTCTTGTCAATTTTAGAAGGTAGGTTGGAGTGAAGGAAGAGACCGTGAAAGTAGCACGACCATTGGGAAGGCGCTAGTGAGTGTGAGGTGAGGACTGGGGGCTTGAACTAGACTTGGCAGTTCTTTACTTGTTCAGCATACCATGAGCACCTGAGGGGCAGTGTGTGCAGCAGACAAACCTGCCCCATGTCACCCTTTAGAGAGGGCTATAAACAGCACCCACACATACTCGAAGCCAAGATGGCGACCCACTGTGGTGTGGGAGGAGAATGCAGACTGCTTTAAACTGACAGGTGAGAAGCTCTCTTAGAGGAAGTGGTGTGCTCCGAGCTGAACCTCCTAGGAGGAGGCCACCAAAGGAAGGGCTAGACAGGAGGCAAAGACAGATCATTCTCTGAGTTCGAGGCCATCTTGGTGTAGAGAGCAAGTTCCAGGACAGCCAAGGCAACATAGAGAAACCTTGTCATGAGCAAGAGAGAGAGGGAGGAGGGGAACAAACCCAGAGGACAGCTTCTAGGTAGGACAGTGTGAGGTGAGGAATGAGGATGGAGGGCCTGATCCAGGCAGAGTCGCTTTAGGAAGCCTGGGTGGTAGGATCCTAAGGAGAGAACAAGCACAGTCAGATTGTCATGAGGTGTTTGTAAAGTTTTTTTTTTATTTTTTAATTTTTTTATTTGTGTGTGTCTTTTCTCTGCGCACATGAGTACAGTGCCTCATGAGTCCAGGAGAGGGCTTCAAACTCCCTGGAGATGAGTTAGAGGCAGTTGTGAGCTGCCTGACATGAGCAGTGGGGGCACATAACTTCTGAGCTTACTCTGCAGCCCCCAGGTTGGTGTTCAGGGAACTTACTGTGGAGGGAGATAGTAACAAGTCTGAAGGTGCTGGCTGCTACTGCATTGTGTGAGACTGAAAAAGGGGCAGGGCTCAGTAATGGAGGGAAAGATAGAGGCTGCATCTTGTATTTGGTTCATTTCAAAGATCCACAGATGCTTGCAGGTGTGCATCTGAAGGGCAGGACATATGGGCAGGATGACTCAGAAAGTGCAGATACAGCTGCCAAGCTGGATGACTTTGAGTTCCATCCCTTCTACACATACACACACTGGATGGATGAACAGATGGATGGATGGATGTAATAGAAATTTTAAGGAGGGATAAAAATTTGAGTTACCAGTTTGTAATCACAACTTTGAGATCCTAAGCAAGGGTCTATGGGGAGAGTGCTAAGAACAAAAGAATGCCTGAGACTGAGCTGACTGTACTCCAAGACTGTGGCCCTCTCATTCCATTCTGCAGAACATCAAACAGCCAGTTAATGGCCCAAAACCAACACAATTCAGTAGCACCAAGAACACAGACTTCGAACAGACTAGGGTTCAGAAGAGCACTCCATTTGCTTGCTGTGTGTCTGTACCTTACCTCCCTTCAGCTGGCGAATGGCAAGAACAGTACCTGCATAGCTGCTTGTGGAGAGGTAACAGGGCTAAGTAGTGAAGAAAGCGCATAAGTGCTGGTCCAGTGTTGAGCAGTCCTCAGAGCAGGGAGATGTCAAGGCTTCTTACTAGTGGGTGGGATTGGGGGAGAAGACTTTCTTGGGAGGCTAGACACAGTTTTGAAAGATAAACCTTTTTTATTTTTTATTTTTAAATTTATTTTTCTAATTTTGCAGGGCAGAAATTCACTTTGCCTGTCAAAGCCCAGTGGTCTCTTTCTGTCTTCCTCACTAGTTCCCTATGCTCACCCACCTGCTCCATCCATTCATGTGCACACACTTGCAT